GGCGGCACGGGACGCGGGCGGCGACGACGGCGGGCTCGGGGCGGCGTGGGGCGGGCTCGGCGGAGACGGCGACGAGGAGCAGAGGCTCGGGGCAGGGGCGAGAAAGAGATGGGATTTGGCGAAAACTGCCAAGTCCAGTATATATAGCAAGAGCATTAGTCCCGGTTGGAGGCTCCAACCGGGACTAATGCCCCCTTTAGTCCCGGTTGGTGCCACCAACCGGGACCAAAGGCCTCATTTCTGTAGCGCAAAGGGCGGGAAACGAAGCCCTTTGGTCCCAGTTGGTGGCTCCAACCGGCACTAAAGGGGGGGGCATTGGTCCCGGTTGGTCCAACGAACCGGGACCAAAGATTGGCATTTGTACCGGTTGGTTCCATGAACCGGTACCAATGGACTCGTGTAACTACTTTTTTATTTTCTGCAGCTATTTTTTTGTTGATTCTTCCTGCAGCTGTTTTTTTAGTCCCACCTCGCCAAGCGAGAGGCAGTCGCAGCTGTTTATAAGCCCTGAGTGCAGAGACGATGACGAAGAGGCTCAATGCTCCTGCACGTTGGTTAGCTTCAAGCCTTGAGGAATACGGTAGACTGCACAGAGCTATGTGAAGTGCAGTTGACATTATTCCGAAAGGCTTGAAGCAAATTAACGAGCATTGCGCCTCTTTTTTATTTTTAATGACTTTACTAAAAAATAATTCTGACCATTGCAGCCGGCGACGGTGGTCATCTCTTCAGTCAGAGGTGGTCGGCCTGAGGCTGGGTGTTCGGATCTCGGGATCCGTCATCTCGCACCAGCTGCGAGTCGGGGAGACGTAGTTGCCGGTGAAAACCGAGCTGACGGTGGGTGATGGCGGCGTTCCATGTCGTTACCATGATGAAGGCATTGTCGTGTGACTACCGTTGACCCACTCGTATTGCTCCAGAGGAAAACCCTAGGATCTGGTGTTCCAGACCGAACGATGGCGGCACTGCGGTGTTGTTTCTCTCTTGGGAGCATTGTTTTGTGGAGCAGCGCTGGAAGTCAGAGGAAGGAGGTGGAGCGGCTTCGTCTTAACGAGCATTGCGCCTCTTTTTTATTTTTAATGACTTATTACAACTCAGAAATAAAAAGAAAAAAATAAATGTAGCAGAAAAGAAAAAAAAACTATATAAAAAACCACTCAGAAATAAATAGAAGAAAAAATAATTTTGATTAACTTTACTAAAAAAATAGCATAGATGCTTATTTCTAATGAATTATTACAACTCAGAAATAAAAACAAAAGAATAAATATAACAGAAAAGAAAAAAAACTATATAGAAAACTACTCAGAAATGAATAGAAGCAAAAAATAGTTGTGATTAACTGTACTAAAAAAGGAGCATATATCCTTATTTTTAATGGCTTATTACAACTCAGAAATAAAAAGAAAAAAATAAATATAGCAAAAAAGAAAAAAAATATAAAAAACTACTCAGAAATGAGCATAGATGCGCTTATAGAGGAAAATCAACTTAAATTCATAACGAATTTTAATCGAAATCCGTATGAATTTAGGCTAATTTCCCTATATAAGGGCATCTATTTTCATTTTCAGAGGAGCTCAATAAGGCAGAGAGGGAGAGGCTTATAAACTGGTCTGATTCCCCTTCGGTTGGCGAGGTGGGACTAAATTCTGGCCGCAACGAGGACCAACCCTTTAGTCCCGGTTGGTGGTATGAACCGGGACTAATGGGCATCCTTTGGTCCCGGTTCAAGCCTCCAACCTGGACCAATAGTGGTGGGCCAGGAGCGAGGACCATTGGTCCCGGTTCGTCCCACCAACCGGGACCAATAGGTACAGATGAACCGGGACCAATGGCCCACGTGGCCCGGCCGGCCCCTGGGGCTCACGAACCGGGTCCAATGCCCCCATTGGTCCCGGTTCTGGATTGAACCGGGACTAATGGGCTGGACCGGCCTGGACCATTGGCCCCCTTTTCTACTAGTGTTGGTGGGAGACTGGGAGGTCATCACCCACGTCTGAGTTCTCAACTCAAATTCGGGTGCCTATTTCTTCCATAGGTGAAAAGTTGTCTAGTTCCTCATAGGCAATCTAGTTCTTATGAGAAAGGCAACTTGTGATTTGAGATTCCTCCAATTAAATTTATTCACCCCATTTTGTTAATGTGTTGAACTTTCCGAAATAGTTAGGTATATGTCAAAGTAATCAAGCTGAATTGCCATAGTACTAAAAGAGGATGACCTCATGATTGAACATGGCATCAGGTTCTTTTGGTTTTTTCGAAAAGGAGGATGACCCCTGGCCTTTGCATCTGGAAGATGCATGCGGTCATTTTATTGGTTATTCTCGAGGACCTTAGAAAGTAGTATAACAATATGTCTGAATCCGCCATCTTGGCAACATCTGCCGCTACTCCTATCCATATGATGAAGGGGTGCAAGCTGGGCCATATAACCAGACCTCTCACCTAAGCCTAACATCTAAAATCGGAAGCCCCGACCAAGCCATCTACCGGGTCCGGGGCACAAACTAGTCCGACGCACTCATATGTGTCGTCGCCGTCATCTTCCACCGGTCCATCTTCAGAGCAGATTGAGGTGTCAACCTTGCTAGGTCCTCCGCCATCGACGCCAAACGACGACCTCCACCTACGTGAGCCTTGGTAGGTCCTCCACCATGGATGCCACCACGACGCCAAATGACGACCTCCGCCTACGCGAGCCCATCTCCAAGCAATGGACGTAGATCCATGCTAGGATAGGACCGCACCACCGCCGTCGCCCACCACCCACAAGCGCCACCCAACCCCAAGGTTCCCAAAGCGACGCCTTCAATAAGGGAACGACGTCGTTAGCGCCGCCGTCGCCCAACAAAGTTAGGGCTTTCGTCCGGGAGACCTAGGATAAGAGGAAGTGAGGAGATCAGTCAATACCGACGCCTCCAAGGAGGGGAACGGCACCCTCAGGTGTCGCCGTCGGCGCGGCCGGTCATGGCCGGCCAGGGATTTCGCCCGAACTAGATCCCCACCACAAGTAGCGCCTCCTGTACAGTACCGGCGACCAAGAGAAGCGCGGCCCGACCAGGCTGGCCCGCACACCTAATAGGGGAGAAGGGAAGGCGCCAGATCGCGCGCACCGACCGTCGCAGAAGCCGCTGCCAGCCGCCAACGACCACCGGGATCCCGCCGCCTGTGTGGTCAGGGCGCCAGATCCACATGCCTCGCCAAAGGAGCCGCCGCTCCAGATCCGGGACTTCCCACGCAGAGGCAAGGCAACCGAGGCCCCGCCGACACCATCCTTGGCGCCCCGGGCTTGCCCAGAGGGTGCCTCAGGCGGCGGCGAGGAGATGGAGCGAGGTGGGGAGGGGGACGCGGCGGTGCGGCTAGGGTTCCCCCGCCGCCGCTGTGGGAGGCGACGCGGGGTTCGCGGGAAGGGTTGCGGGCCGCATCAGGTTCTTTCGGTGTCATACCTTGTCATCATAATCTTATCTTATCATTGTGTAAGATGAGGAAAAACAACATAGTTAGCTGTGCAGAATCTTACCTCCCATATGTTTTCACCTGAGAAATGCCCAAGAGGATCTAGATTGTATCTTATTGTACCCTGAAAAAGTGTTGTCTTGTGGAATGATACCCAAACGCAACCGCAGATCATGTAAGCCTATCGTACTGATATCCACAGAGTCTATGATTATTTTCCCTTCATCAGGTTCAACAAGGCGAAACATTGCACCAATTAACATTGTCTTGCCACTTCCTGTTCGACCAACTATACCAATCTTATCTCCACCTTCAAAATTGCAAGTGATTCCATGTAGTACAAGGGGAGCATCTATCCTATACCTGATCTGTTAAATGAAAATCCATCACATACATTTGTTATAAGTGTTAATAGGTAGGATTTTATTTTACCTTGTAAGGTTTATGTGTAAATATTTACATTTGATTACCTTCAAATGCCTAATGTCCACATTGCCATTTTGGGGCCAATCTGGTAATGGTCGATTGTCTTCAATGACTTTTGCTGCTTCACTTGGTATGTCCATGTATTGGCTCACCCGTTCCACCAAGATTATTTGATTCCCAAGGTTGCACTGGCTTTGAGTAAAGAAAACAAATGATGTAGTTAGCGAAAGACCATAGGACAATGCCATTCCCACAAAACCTGTGCAAGTATGAAAGCAAGGAACTAATTAGTGCTACTATTTGTAATGGCACAAACTGAATGATATCAAGTACTTTATTTAGTTAACTCCGGTGCATAAGCATTAGGACTAGAATTGCATCTTCATAAAAATACAAACTTATCCATAAAATCATCAGAACAAGTGGTGGCTTGAGAAATGTACGGAGTTTTATGTTCATAATGTTCTGCCCAGCCGAGGGCGGTAAATATAATTTTCTTGCAATAATAAACATTACTACCTCAGAGTGTAACATTCTAGAAGGCATTCAATCAAACTTTCACACTTTAGGCATCTTTCCTTTCCTCCTCCCCAAGAAGCTACTCCCAGGCAACTAGGGTTTCTCGTTCTCCCGTCGCCGTGGCCACCGGTCCGTGTTGCCTCCGGTCGCCTTTGGGCCGTGAAGGTGCAGAGAATCCCGGCCCCGCACCAGTGGGAGGGATCTCCCTCTCATTCTTGTTTGGTTTAGCGTCTCGGTTGGGGCTATGTGGCTGCGGTGGTGTCCCCTAGTAGGAATAATATCTCCCATGTTCGATCCTCATCTTGATGTTGCATCTACCATCGTCGGAGGCAGCGGCGGAGCTATGTTGTGGTCTGCAGGGGCCATGGCCCCCCCAGCCTAGGTAAATTATGTGAAGGAAAAAAATTTGGAGAGGACGATTAGAGGAAACGTAGACTTTTGGCCCCCCCCAAACATCCATATTTTCTGTTTGGCCCCCCAAACAATTTTACCTAGCTCCGCCAGTGGTCGGAGGGCATGTGGATCTGTTTGGATCCAATCTTTGCATGTCTCTGGTCGTGTGTCTATAGGTTTGATCTTTCCAATCTTCACTTCACTTTATCTACGACGTTTGTTGTTCTGGTGCGCTGGTCCTATGGAGCCTTAACACCACGACTTCCCGGATGCTACTACAATAACGTTTGCCCGGCTCCGGCGAGGAAGGGTGATGATAGCGGCGCACCTTCGGCTCGCTCCAATGCTTGTATTCGTCGCTAGGTGACCCACGGACCTGGTTGTAATTTTTGTTACTTCTGATGTTCTCTGTACTACCATGATAGATGATGAATAGATAGAAAGTTTCTTCCGCAAAAAAAAAACTTTTTAAACTTTACTATTGTATATAAAAAAGGTATTCGGACTAGTGAGATCATAATACTATCATTGGATTTTTTGTCAATATTATTTTCATAGTATGTAATGGTCAAATTAGTTTGTTGGAGACCCATGTCATGTGTAAATCGTTATCTATTCCAGAATGGAGGGAGTGTCATGTTCTCGTAGCAAAAGCTTATTTGAAGCAACGTGGTGTTTATATAATTGCTTACCAGGGCTAAAAGTTTCTTGAGGAAGAAGAGCCATGACAAAGGCAGAAGAAGAAAGAACTATGGCGCTCATTATTTCTATACATTGAATCAACCATTCAGTTGCTGCAAAATTACAGAAATATGGGCTAGCATTCTTGTCAACAAGATCCAAATTTTTAGCAAAGAAACGATCTTCTCCCTCAAAGGCCCTTATCGTTATATCCCCTGCAATCGATTCACCTAAGTGACTCGCTAGGGCGGACTTTGTAGTACCATTGATCCGCATTAATTCCTTGACCGATGCTAGATAGTACCTCTGCATGACCAAACACAACAGGTTTCACTTCTTAAAACTTTGAGTGCAAAACTGTGAAGTGTGAATGAAATCAAATAATCAAAGAAATGAGGATTAGCCATAAAGTAACAAAGTCATACCAATTACCTGCAACCTAATTGCCAAAACTATCATTGGCACGGATACAAACAGAACTTGCCATGTAACAACAGCCAATACCCCTAGATTGCTACATGCATTTAAGCTGGTACCAAGGCTAACCACTAATGCAAATGGAATATCGAGGTCAACGATACCCAAATCTGAAGAGACCTGCATTAGAAGAAAAAGGGAACAAGTTAATCCCTCATGAGAAGATCTCTGTAACTTGTTGTATCACCATTCGTTTAACAACTCTTACCTAGCTAAGAACCCTTCCTAGAGGTGTAGAATCAAAAAAGGACATTGGTGCACGGAATAATGAATTGAGTAGCTGGGAAAATACGGATCTTGATGACTGGATCCAAAGAAGAACGACTGTTAAAGATCTTGATAGCAAGAAGATCATTGTGCAAGCTCCGATAATAATGTACACAGAAATTAACTTCAGTGTGCTAACATGAGGATTTTGGACATTAGCAGCCATCCATGAATTCTGTGATATCTGCCCAGCTACGAAAATTATGTGAGAAATCATAACACAAGGAGAAATACAGGAAGCCTTTCTTCTGGCTCAGGTAAAGCATATAAGACTTGAAAACTGCGTCCCCTGTTTCTTCTGGTGATGGTTTCACAGACTCTGTGTATCTACTTCCATGAATACCATCTGTCTCCTTTATTGATACTTCCTTGGATCTTTGATGGGGTATGGTGTTCTTACGATGTGAAACACCCATAGTATCTTTATGGGCATTTACAAGGTCTTTAAATTCTTCACAATCTGTCAATAGATCTTGATAAGGTGCAGACGGAATAACCTCTCCATCTGACATTAACTGCCAAGAATCATTTAGATGACATCAACAAATAAATAAAGCTAATTACAGATAAATATCATCATATGGTGAATTTTTTTAAGTAGAGAGAGATACCAAAATGGAGTCAAATACAGGTAGAAAATCCACTTGGTGAGTCACCAAAAGAACGGTCTTGTCTGATAGAGCACTCATGACATATTCCTGTCACAAAGAGATTTGTAAAACAGTTCATGATCTTCTAGTAATACAATATGTACCTGCTGATATAATCTGCACTCATGAATATGATCCTTACATTAAAGAGACTTGTGGCTGTGCGGGCATCAACAACACTAAAAGGGTCATCAAGAAGATAGATATCTGCATTTTGGTATAGTGCACGAGCAAGCTGGACGCGCTGCTTCTGACCACCACTAAGATTTACTCCTCTCTCCCCAATTTGAGTACAATCTCCATATGGCAACATTTCAAGGTCCTTGACCAACGAGCACCTCACGAGTGTCCTGTGGTATCTTTGCCTGTCCATCGACGATCCAAAGAGAATATTGTCTTGCACAGTTCCTGTTTGGATCCATGCATTCTGAGAAATATATGCTATTTTCCCACAGACTTGGATCTGAAATGTTTATCCGAAGATAAATAATTTATATTAAGCTGTTAGGGAAAAATGAATTTATGAACATATTTTATGTTGGCAAATATTGTCAACCATAATTTTCATAACTTTGCAAACTGAACTTCACGCTGTTGTCAACAGGCTATGTTTATCTTAAACATGTATAAATGTCTAAATTCTGAGTATGGTATCTATTTCATTAGAAGATGAAGTTAGTAAGAAGAAAACATACCACACCTTCAGTTTTGGAGACCTCTCTGAGTACAGCAGCCAAAAGTGTCGACTTTCCTGATCCAACCTCTCCACAAATTGCAACCTTTTCTCCAGCTTTGACTGCCAGATTTATATTCTTGAGAGTTGGTTTTGATGTATTCTCATCCCACGAGAAGCTACACGAATTCATCGCTATAGGGTAATCAATTCCACCATAATATTTCTTCCTAACTTGCTCGTTTAACTCAGGTGCATCAAGGAACTTTGATATCCGAGTGAAAGAAACCTTAGCTTGTATCGCAACTGCAATAACATCCGGTATCGTCCTAACTGGGTCTTGCACGAGACGTAGAGTTGCCACAAAGGTGAAGACATTTCTAGCATCAAGAGGGACTTTCAAAAGATAGCATGTTACAAAGGTTGCCACAGAAACCAAAGCAGGAGAAGCCCAGAACAGGAAACTATTGTATGCCCTCCAAAGCATTGCTAGCATGCTGACAACCACTTGTACTCAACTTCCCTCAACCCCTCGATGACCTTCTTGAAGTGGGATTCCCATGCATAAAGTTTCAAGACCTTCATATGAACTAGTGACTCAGAAATGGCCTTCAATCTCACATCTTGTGCTTCCATAAGTTTCCTCAGAAATTTGTGTTGGAATCTAGCCAGTGGAGCATTGCAGAGTACGGTGAGAATGATGACAACCAACGATGAAATCATTGCAGCACCAACTGCATTGTATAGAATTGCCAGAGCAATGCAAAGCTGAACACTTGTTGTCCATGTTTGATGGAACCAGTATGGGAATTCCCCAATCCGATAGGCATCGACGGTCACATAGTTCATAATTTGTCCAGAGGAGTGCTTCATTTTTGCTGCATTTGATAGCTTCTGTTGTTTCTTATAAATAGCTACTGACAGGAGTGACCTCACCTGCAGTCCTAATCTCCGAGTGCGGAAATACTACTGTCTCTCCGACAATGATTCACAACATTTGCAGACGAACAATAATGCAGCCAGCGCATAGCCTTCGTATTTAAAGTTCCCTTTCCCAAGTGATACATTGATGAATGCCTTGAGAATTACTGGGCCAGTGGATAAGGTGAGAACCTTGAGCAAAACAAAGAAACCCGAGACCATGATGGCACGCTTGTGACAAGAAACAATAGTCCAGAAGAATGATGGTGTGGCGTGCGCCGGCGACTGCTTCCTGCAATTCAGCTTCTCCATGAGCATGGATCACTGGTTTTGCACTCGATCTGTGGCGCGTAAAAGAAGCATGTCTTTGTCCTCAAGGGGATTCTCATAGCCCTTCTTCATTAGAGGATTCAACCACCAAAACGACATCTCACTGAAAAAACCAGCAGTAGCAAAGGGAGTCTCGGAACAGCTGCCTCGCCGTCTGTCTCCGTGTTGAGGGGTTTGTATAAACCATTTCCAATTCCTCCATAGCCCTCTTCGTCATGGCTGTGTCGAATGCCATAAATGAGGAGGACCACTGCACCTGGTAAGTAGAGAACATCTAAACAAGACTTAATAGTGATTGTCTTCTCTGCAACAATGTCAACAACTGAAGAAGAACAAATCAATGCTGCATAGACGGTCAGCAAGACCGGCCAAGACCTGACGAATGCCGCTCCAGGAAACCGAGGCCTGGCACTGAAAGCCAAGCCGGCAAGGACCAATTTTTTTTTGAATGGTCACCGGGGGGGAGAGATTCCCCACCTGAATATATTGCTCAAAGTGGCCAAAATGCCAAGTGTTTGATCCAGTTTATAAGGAAAACCGGATCAAAAACCTTAACAGGTTGACCCCGTTTATAAGGAAAACCGGGCCGAAAAACCACACAGGGGGGAAAGATTACATAGGGTAAGAGCATATGGACGCCCCGAAGAAAGCACTACCTAGCCAGCAAGCCAAGAGACCACCACCATAAAAATCGAGAGGAAGTGGTGTGTCATTGAGGAAACACAATACCAACACTAAACAACTATCCTAACGCACCACACCTGCGTGCATACCAACCCCTTGGCACAACAGAGGATCAGCACCAATCAACGAGTGACCCATCACGAACCTTAACTGGAAACTCCGCCACAGCAAGCCGGCACGATTAGCAAGGTGGGGAGGCATCGTTGCGTCGTTGTTGAGCAAAGATAAACCGAGATAGCACGAAGAGCACGAAGCTCACCAAAACGGACGACGGGCATGAGAGGGTCTTGAGCTAGCAGAGCAGAGGATGACCAACCTGAAGGAAATATGCCCTAGAGGCAATAATAAAGTTATTATTTATTTCCTCATATCATGATAAATGTTTATTATTCATGCTAGAATTGTATTAACCGGAAACATGATACATGTGTGAATACATAGACAAACATAGTGTCACTAGTATGCCTCTACTTGAACTAGCTCATTGATCAAAGATGGTTATGTTTCCTAACCATAGGCATGTGTTGTCACTTGATTAATGGGATCACATCATTAGGAGAATGATGTGATTGACTTGACCCATTCCGTTAGCTTAGCACTTGATCGTTTAGTATGTTGCTATTGCTTTCTTCATGACATATACAAAGTTCCTACAACTATGAGATTATGCAACTCCCGTTTACCGGAGAACACTTTGTGTGCTACCAAACGTCACAACGTAACTGGGTGATTATAAAGGTACTCTACAGGTGTCTCCAAAGGTACATGTTGAGTTGGCATAATTCGAGATTAGGTTTTGTCACTCCGATTGTCGGAGAGGTATCTCTGGGCCTTCTTGGTAATACTCATCACCTAAGCCTTGCAAGCATTGTAACTAATGAGTTAGTTATGAAATGATATATTACGGAACGAATAAAGAGACTTGCCGGTAACGAGATTGAACTAGGTATTGGATACCGACGATCGAATCTCGGGCAAGTAACATACCGATGACAAAGGGAACAACGTATGTTGTTATGCGGTTTGACCGATAAAGATCTTCGTAGAATATGTAGGAACCAATATGAACATCCAGGTTCCACTATTGGTTATTGACCGAGAATAGTTCTAGGTCATGTCTACATAGTTCTCGAACCCGTAGGGTCCGCACGCTTAACGTTACGATGACAATTTTATTATGAGTTTATAAGTTTTGATGTACCGAAGGTTGTTCGGAGTCCCGGATGTGATCACGGACATAACGAGGAGTCTCGAAATGGTCGAGACATAAAGATTGATATATTGGATGACTATATTCGGACACCGGAAGTGTTCCGGATGTTATCGGAGAAAAACCGGAGTGCCGGAGGGTTACCGGAACCCCCCCCCCTCGGGAACTAATGGGCCTTATTGGGCCCTAGCGGAGAGAGAGAGGGGCCGGCCAGGGCAAGAGGCGCGCCCCCTCCCCTTGAGTCCAA